TAAAATTAAATGATAATAATAATGTTAAATAAAAAAATAATTGTCTATCTTAATAAATAGTAATAAAATAAAAAAATTAATTTTAAATAAAAATAAGCAAAATTTGTTATGAGAGCAAGAGAACATAAATTTTTAACCAATTAAGTTGAGGGTTAGCAAGAACTGGCAGGACTATTTGGTTTTTGGGTTGCTAGGTTAATGGCAGCTACGTGCACTCTTAATTATCAATTAACGCAAGATATTTCTCTATTCCATGATTGGTTAACGTTTTCGTTAATAATAATGGATTATATAGTTAATTACCTAACAAATTAAGAAAATTAAGAAAGTGGGTGAAATGATAATAATGATTAATAGTAATTAATTATCCATTTTGGTACCAGGTGGAAGACATGTACAAGGTCAAACGTTGCATCATCTTCTCCATCCCTGCTTAAGCCTTCTTTTTCCAAAGAAAAGTCATCAGTCATCAAAATACCTTTCGGAACTAGGTCCCATATATAGGTTTTTTTCTTTACTCATTTTAATTATATGCTCAAGTTGTTAATTTTAAAATTTTTTATTCTTACTTTTACCCCAAAAAAAAAAAAACTAACTACCCCAAAACAATTTAAATTAATGCGTAATTTATAACAACTTTAAAAACAAAAAAATTTATAAAATAATCACATTTTTTTTATGAGAAAAATAACAACCACGTTTTGTTGACGGTGGTTAATATATTATTAATGCCGGCCCCTATCTGCACGAGCCACCAATTTTGACACGAGATATAACGCTTTTCAATCATTTTCATTTGGAAGTCATGTATCTATTAGAAGAAGGTTCAATAGTATAGTCCAGAGTATTAGACCGTACAATATTAAATATTATCAAATATAATAAGTCTTGTACTATAAAAATTTTTTTTAAAAAAAAAATTTGTGAGGCATATCTTATGATTTAATAAAGTTTTCAAAAATTAAAGGTTTCGTATTTATTAAGTTGTGGGAAAAGTTCTTTAATTTGAAGTCTATTAAAAAAAGTACAAATAAAAATAAAATTTTTATTTTTTTATATAAGTATGTAAAATTTATTAATTTTTA